GCTGCCCCTTGGCAAACACAGCCTTGGGCTCTGGGGACAGAGGGGAGGGACGCACAGGTCAGAGATTGTCCAGGAAGCCACCTGGGGAAGGGCAACTGGCTGGACAGCTGAGGAGAGACCCTTCTGCAGGCCACACCAGCTCGTGCCCTGGAGAAGTCCAGCATCCTCAGTACAAGGGACCACAGTGTGTGACACAGCCTGTACCTGCTGCTTGGGGCTGTACCAGGTGGGAACACTGTGACAGCTCAGACTCCTCCCTAAGGGACACAGCACCCGCCCCTTAGAGACCAGGAAGAGTCTCCCCAGGACTGTGCAGGGCATGAGCTCTGGGGAGGGTCTGGAAGGGCCAGCCCAATATCCCTCTGGGTCTGTCTACACTGCTCTGGCTCCCACCCACTCTCCTTAGCCCCATGAGGTAGACATTGCCGATGTCTGCTGCATTGCTGTGGGCTGCTCTGGGCTGCTCTGGGCTGCTGTGTCCTGCTCTGGGCTCCCCTGGGCTGCTGTGTCCTGTTGTGGGCTGTTGTGTCCTACTTGGGGCTACTCGGGGCTGCTGTGTCCTGCTCTGGGCTGCTGTGTCCTGCTCTGGGCTGCTGTGGGCTGCTGTGTCCTGCTGTGGGCTGCTGTGGGCTGCTGTGGGCTGCTCTGGGCTGCTGTGTCCTGCTCTTGGGTGCTCTGGGCTGCTGTGTCCTACTCTGCGGTGCTCTGCGCTGCTGTGTTCTGCTGTCGGCTGCTCTGGGCTGCTGTGTCCTGCTCTGGGCTGCTCTGGGCTGATGTGGGCTGCTCTGGGTTGCTCTGGGCTGCTCTGGGCTGCTCTGGGCTGGTGCTGCTAAACTATCCTGCCCACTTTCAGTAGCACTGTGTTTTCCAATTCCTTCTTAGCAGCTCTGCATTTGATTACCTGCTAGGTTGTGGACAGTCATGGGTCCTGAGTAGGCCCCATCTGAGGGGCTTGCCCTTTCCTCCTATAGAGTGTCTTCTGATGGGGCAGTTTCAGTTTCACCACAGGTAAATACATCCGTTTGCTTAATGGCCAATGCCCTACSTTCTCTCTAAGAAAAGTACAATTAACTTGAAGTCATGGAGAAACACAGGACACCTGCTAAGAGCCCGCCTCACCTCCACTGAGGTCCACCTTGAAGACCTGCTTCACCTCTACGCTGAGGTACAGCCTGTATTGGATTCCTTTTGTGTTGAGTTGGATATCTGATTTTCAATTTTTTTTTCTAAGTTTAATGGTCTTAGAACTAGTTTGGAAAATAACATCCCTCTCTATACCTCCTGGTAGCACCAGAACAGAGTCATGAAGGAGGAGAGGGACCTGGTTACACTCAGAGCTGTGTCCCTTTTCTTTCCTTTTTTTTTTGGGTGTGTGTGTGTGTGTGTGTGTGTGTGTGTGATGTTAGGCATTGAACCCAGGATCTTGCACATGCTAGGCAAGCACTCTAGCACTGAGCTACATTCCCAACTCGCTTTTTAAAATTATATTTTTTGAGATAGGGTTTTGCTAAGTTACTGATGCTGGCCTCGAACCTGCCTCCCCCTGCTTCAGCCTCCAAGTCCCTGGGGTTACAGGCACAGCCAGCCCACCAGCTACCTAGTTGTTCTGAGCTAACTGCTCAGTTGCCCCTGTCCTCTTGTCTGCTCCTGCCTTCAGCCATGCGRATGTCCTGACTCTGGTCGCCCGTGCCCTCCAGTTGCTCTCCAGAAGTGGCTCTGCCCATTTGGCCTGTCGATATTCCTACTCCTGGAGAGAAGCAGCAGGCAACTGGACTGTGACTGCGAACCTCTGGCTCTCCCACAGACTGACTCCATGCACTTAGACCCCTTCTGCTTCCTCTCYAGTGTCTAGTGATGTGCATCTTCACCACGTCTGTGGGCCTGTGTCTGAGAAGACCTGGAACAGTAACGCCACGCTCTTGGCTCTGYGCTAGTTCTTGGAAACTCCACTTCCATCATCTGCTTGCTTACTTGTGTGGATGAAGAAGAGTCTGTACACCTGAGCATGGACATTGCCCCTGCTCTCCTCCTGGACACAGTCAACGATATTTCCGGCATTCTGTTCTGATAACCCTGTCCTCTGTGAGCCCCAGCACGAGTGTCCGAGCCCCATTCCTTCCCTTTCCAATGCYGACAGCAACCCCTCCCTTGTCCACTCCTGGTCTTGAAGGTGACACTCTGAAGTCTGTACCACTGGTGTCCCTTTGCCTTCACTTTTCCTACAACAACTCTGTTAAGCTAAGGAGGAATCATCTCATCCAGAGTTTGCTAAGAACTGCATRTTGAATTGTGTCAAACAATCTTTACAACTTCTGATGTCACACTCATCAAATACTGTCACTGCATGCCCAGGAAGAGTCATACCCTGTCCCTCAAGCCTGTTAGCACTGGGCCCTGGTGACCACCTGATGTTCCTGGGTGAACCAGGCCTGCACTCCTGCACTTCACATCTCCTAGAGCAGACAATCCCTTCACTTTGCTGGACTCATT